ACAGCCGCGCTGGTGACCTGTGGAGCACCTCTGCCCGGGAATTTCCTAGTCTGTGGGCAATAAAAATACGGCGTCCACTCACCCTCTGCGCTTTCACTGGGAGCTGCAATCCTGAGCTGTTCCTAAACGGCCATCTTGGATCCAATCTTTTCGAACAACTTATAAATTTATAGTTCAAATGCAAAGAAAACCACTAAAAATGTTAAAAAATAAAATAAAACAAGTATTCTTGATATGCTAAGACTGGAGAGAATATTCAATAATATAAATTGCTCAAAACTAGAGAATGCAGAAGAAGAATGGAAAAGTAAAAGACACAAATGAAAGAAAAAAACAACTCCACAACTAAAAGACAGTAATAGATATTGCACATACTAATTCAACAATATCAATAATCACTTTGGATGTCAATGATCTGAAAGACAAAGACTCTTAGAATAAATAAAGATGTAAGACACAAGTGTATGTTGGTTACAAGAAACTCACTTTAAATATAAAGGCAGATAGAATCAAAATAAAGGGATGGAGAAAGCTATACCTTGCTAACAATAGTCGAAAGAAAGCTGAAGTAGCATTATTAATTTCAGACAAACCAGACTTCAGAACAAGAAGAAATTATCAATGATAAAGAGGGACATTACATAGTAATAATGGGGTAAAATTACATAGTAATCATTAATGCATTTGTGACTAACAACAGAACATCAAAATATGTGAGGCAAAAACTGATAAAAATGCCAGAAGAAGTAGACAAATCTGCTATCATAACTGAATGTCAATTCCTTCTAATAGTAGTTAACTATTAGAAGTAGACAGAACCAGCAGACAGAAAATCAGTTAAGAATATATATGAATGAATTGACATCATAACTGAATGTCAGTTCCTTCTAATAGTAGTTAACTATTAGAAGTAGACAGAACTAGCAGACAGAAAATCAGTTAAGAATATGTTTGAACTGAACAGCACCATCAGTCATTTGGAATTAATTGACATTAATAGTTACTTTATTCAACAACAGCAGAATACACATTTTTCTCAAGCCACATGGAACATTCACCAAGACAGATCACATGCAATGTCATGAAAACACACCTTAGGCTGGATGTGGTGGCTCACGCCTATAATCCCAGCACTTTGGGAGGCTGAGGCAGGCAGATCACAAGGTAAAGAGTTCAGTATTCACCACTAGCCTAGCCAAAATGGTGAAACCCCATCTCTACTAAAAAATACAAAAATTAGCTGGGCATGGTGGTGCACACCTGTAATCCCAGCTACTCAGGGGGCTGAGGCAGGAGAATTGCGTGAACCCAGGAGGCAGAGGTTGCAGTGAACCAAAATCATGCCACTGCACTCCAGCCTGGGCAATAGAGCAAGACTCCATCTAAAAACAACAACAAACAAAGCAGAAACACAACTTCACAAATTTAAAAGGATAGAAATTATACAAAGTATGTTCTCAAACCACAATGAAGTTAAACTAGAAATCAATAACAAGGAAGATGGCTGGAAAATCCTCAAATATTTGGAAATTAAGAACATACTTGTAACTAACACATGTGCCAAAGAAGAGGTCTCAAAAAATGTAGAATATTCTGAACAAAATAAAAATGAAAATATGATTTATCAAAATTTATGGATATAGTGAAAATGATGCTTAGAGAAATTTTAGAGCATTAAATTAATTTATTGGAAAAGAGGTAGATCTAAACTCAATAGTCTAAGATTTCACCTTAGGAAACCAGGGGAAAAAAAGAGGAAATTAAACTCAAAGTAAGCAGTAGAAAAGATATAAAAATTAGAGCAGAAGTCTGCGAAACTGAAAATAAAAAACAACAGAGAAAATCAATAAGACCAAAATATAATATTTGAAAATATTAATAAAATTGATAAAATTCCACCAGTCTAAAAAAACAGATACAAATTACCAACCTCATAAGTAAAAGAGAGACCATAGCTGTTGAGCCTATGAACATTAAATGAATAGTAAAATATAACCAACAGCTCTATGCCCATAAAGTTGAAAACTTAGATGAAACTGACTAAATCTAAAAAGGATTCAATCTATTCAAATTCACATAAGGAGACATAGATCATCTAAATAGGGCTATTAACTATTTAAAAATTAGTTAATAATTAGGAATACTTCAAAATAGAAAATACTAGACCCAGATGGTTTCACTGATTAATTCTATCAAACATTTAAATAAACTTTACTAATTCTTTACAATATCTTACAGAACAATAAGGCAGAGGGAATACTTGCTGACTCATTCTGTAAGCCTAGCATTATCCAAATACCAAAACCAGAAAAATATATTAAAAGAAAAAAAATGACAGACCAATATCTCTCATGAACATAGATGTAAAAATTCTCAAAAAATTAGCAAATTGATCCAACCATGTATAAAAATTAATATATACAATCCAAGACTTATCCCAGGAATGTAAGGCTGTTTCAACATCTACAAATTATTGAATGAAATCCATCACATCAAAAGGCTGAAGAAGAAAAATCATATGATCATATCAACAGATACATAATGAGAATTTGACAAAATCCAATACCCATTTATGATAAAAACTCTCAGTACTAGGAATAGAGAGGGATGTCTTTGATTGAATAAGGAATGTCAGTAAAATACTTATACCTAACATTGTAGTTACTGGTGAGAAACGAGATTTTTTTCAGTTAATGTTAGAAAAAAGACAAAAATGTACCATCTCACTTCTGTTCAACCTCATAATGGAAATCATAGCTAATGCAGTAAGATAAGGCAATACATGTTACACAGTTAGGGAAGAAAGAAATAAAACTGTCTTTGTTCACAGATGACCTAGTTGACTAAGTAGAAAATCCCAAAGAATCAACAATAACGATAAAAAACAAAAAACTCTTGGAACTAATAGACAATTATAGTAAGATTAGAGGATGTAGGTTTAATACAGAAAATTCAATTGATTTCCTTTATACCAGCAATGAACAATTTGAATGCAAAGTTAAAAACAGCCCACCATTTATATTAGCAACAAAAAATAAAATACTTAGGCATAAATCCAAGAAAACATGTATAAAATCTGGATGAGGAAAAGTATAAAACTCTTATAAAAAGAGCTAAATAAATAGAAATTCTATGTTAACTTATACGAAGACTCAATATTGGTAAGATAGCAGTTGTTCCAAACTGATCCTATGGATCCAACACAATCCCAATAAAAATTCTAGCAGGTTACTTTGTAGATTTCAACAAACCGATTCTAAATTGTATATGGAAAGGGAAAAGTTCCAGAATAGACAACACAACATTGAAGGAGAAGAACAGAAGAGGACTGACACTACCTGATTTCTAGACTTACTGTAAATCTATAGTTTTCAATGTAACCGAATAGGGAGCTCAGAAATATATCTACACAAATATATAGTCAACAAACCTAAAATAGTCTTTTCAACAAATGGTACTAGAACTTGATATTTACATGAAAACAGTAATGATGATAATCTAGACACTGACCTTACACCTTTCAATAACATTAACTAGATATGGATGATAGACCTAAATGTAATATATGCAACTGCAAAACTTCTAGAGGATAATACATGGGAGAACTTATATGATCTTAAATTTGGCAATAAATTTTCGGATAAAGAGCCAAAAGTCTTAAATGAATAACCTTATGTAGTCAGCTAACATGGCAAAATAAGAGCTGGAATCCAAAACAACCTGGATTATCAAAGATACTCCTGTTTTCATTAAACCATATCACCTCCAGGAGATGACTGCAGAAGATATTAGATGAGAATTTGATTAGAAGACTTTTAAGACTGAAATTACAAATTTCTCAAAGGTAAAGGGAACAACAAAATTTAAAGTGAATATTACATGAATTAAAATGAGGATATCAGTTGCATTTAATTATCTGTTAATTTCAGTGAAACCTATATACTTACTAGGAGTCCTGGTTCTGGAACAGGAGAAGCCCTTGCAAACCTTTTACTCAGTCTCCTCTTCTCTTTCTTTAGGTTTTGCATATTCTGAATACGTTTATCTGCAAGCTTTAGAAAAATTAAAAGGAAAGAACAAATCATACTTTTTTGTAACATAGAAAGGTAACATGCTGATTATATTTTTGGTTTGTGTCAATAAAAAAAGGTAAACACCACCACCACTGCAAACAGTTTCCATAACTATGTAGAAATAGGGGGGGAAATCCCTTTCATTCAAATGTGTGGTTCATAGGTGAAGAAAATAACATTGGAGCATCAGTAGGGTTTTCAAATAAGACTATTCTCGATTTCATCTTACCACTGTATACTTTTAAACAGATCCAGATTCATGGATTAGTGTGTTTACTTTTATTTTAAAAGTAGTGTTCATTAAAGACTCCTAGGGGATTTTCTCTGTAGAAATAAGAAAACAATTATTTGCTTCCTTGAAATGTTGCATGACACACATAGCTTTTTATGCCACCATTGTATGGCATCTTCAAGTAGCAGACCTAGGAGATCAAACTCGAATGCTTTGCAGACAATGAAATACAGAAATAGAATAGAAAGGATATGAATAACAAGAACTTTTTTATCTACTTCCAATGAAGTATAAGTTAGTACAATTGCTTTGAAAACAAACTTTAAAAAAAATTCACTGCCAACAGAGTATAAACTTGAATAATTGCTTTGAAAACAATATGGCATTACTTTCTAACAATGAAAAATTTGCTTTCCCTATGATTCAACCATTGCACTTCTGCCTAAATAATCAAGTGAAATTCTTGTACATGGGGAAGGAAGACATGTGCTAGAATGTTTGATGTAAAAATGATACAATGTCTCAACAAGAGAAAAAGGTTTAATGAACTGTGATGTGTTCCATGAGAAAATATGGAGCAGCAGTGAAAATAAAGGAACTGTATATAGCAATATAGATAAATCTTAGGAAATAGTATTGAGAAGGAAGAGTAAATCACACTAAATTTTGTGTGATCTTATGTTTATAAAGTTTAAAACCAAGCAAAAGCAAATAATGAACTTTTAGAGGCACATATGTAACAAACTTAAGGAAAAGGAAGAGATTGATGTAACTAAAATTCAAGATGGTGGTTACCTCTGGGAGAAATCTTAGGCGGTAGAATAGAAAAGCATTCCCTAGCTGGATTCAAAAGTACCCATAATATTTTAATCCTTAAATGGGAGGCATATGATATTTTATAAATACTTTTTGTGTATGTATCAAATGTCACATTAAAAACTAAGTATATAAGATATTTAGTTTACCCTAGTTAAGACCATTCCAATAGTAGTCATGCAATCCCAGAGTCCCAAGAAATATATTGAAGTGTCTACCAGTACAGGTCTATTATGTTAGGGACTACTACATAAAGGAACAAGTTACAAGAACAGTGTTGAAACAACCAGAACCTAGTTCTTTATTTCAACATTACCTGCCGCTCAGTGACCTCTGAAGGATGATGTCTTGGTCCTTCCTATATCATATGCAAAATCAAAACAGATTCACGCATTAAAAAGTCATTAAAAAACAGCAAATTAGTTATTATAATAGGAAGAAGCCTATGCTACTTTTAAATATATGTATTATATGAATCATTTCAACAGTAAGAGGCAGGTTAAAAAAACACAAAAAAAATGCAGGTTCAAAATATGTAAGATAAAGATTGTGGTGGAAGATGGAGACAGTATTATGATAAAAAAAAAAAAAAAGAAAAAAAAAGAACCAGCTGTGAACCACCTTGCAGATAACATGCAAAGTATGGAGACTTATTCGGGAGGGAAGGAATGTATGAGAAATCCAAAAATGCATGTTTCTACTTGCACTTTGCACAGGACTTCAGTGGTGCCATTGAACAATCTATTCTTTAAGCTGATTTCAAAGCCTAGGAATAATTGGTGATGTGATTGAGATCAGATGGTTTTCTGAAGCACAGGGAGCCTGGCTGTTAGTTTTTGAGATTCTCACCCTACCCTCTATTTCTTGATCATACCTTAAATATATCCCCCTTCCCCCATTTTGATCCAGTCTTTTAACCAGAAGACCCAAGAGCAATCTGTTCCACATCTGGCAATTGAGAACTTTTCCTTCTCCCTACTTCTGTAATTTCTACTCCACCTCCTAGGGCAGATCAGTGGGGCAGTCAACATACAGGTGAGGTGTCTGACCCCTAGCAAACAGTGGGTGGGGCTTTTTCTTTTTTCAGGTAGGTCTAGCAGTCAGGATTTAGTCTGTCTGCTTCACCTGGAATTTCCCAACCCCTAGCACCAAACCACATTTGCAACACCTAGAAGTGCCATGGCCAAAGCCACAGCAGCCTGGATTCAAAGCCCAGGACAGAGTGGCAGAGGTGAGGTTAAGGGCCCCACCAGACTCACAGGGTTGACTTGGGAAGGCTCGATGTCCCAGCAGTACAGGCACATGCTTCGGAGCCTAAGGGTGCCGCCTGGCACCTCTTGCCTGTCCTGGACCAACTGATTGCGGGACCCACCACCCACAGCCCTCAAGCCCCGCCCACCCAGTTCCATCACAATTCTCTTTGTTCTCCTTCCTGCTATGGCCCCTTCCCTTTCCCCAGCTGTATTTCAGTCCAGTGCAGGGAAGGCAAGACCTCAAGTTGTCCACAGTATCTTTGAATTATGGATGTCAGTTTACCATGATTCCCTATATCATCTCCTTCTTACTCAGAAAATTGCATAATATCAATTTCCCACCTTTTCTAGCCTTCATCTCTCTAGTCTCTCTCTTTATAAAGCCCCTTTCATTTGTATCTAGCTTAGTCTCCATGTTTTGTCACTTCAGTCTGTCTATTGTTAGGATTCTCAATTCCACCACTTCATTATTGTTCCATCACAGCTTCTAGCTGGGTGACCCAACTGTCTGCCTTCTTCCCATTTATCTATACCAAATGAAGTGAGGAGAAGCTTGAAGAGGGTTACAATACATATTCTTCTCCCCCTATTTATTTGTTTATTTTTGACAGAGTCTTACTCAGTTACCCAGACTGGAGTGTAGTGGCATGATTTTGACTCACTGCAACCTCTGCCTCCCAGGTTCAAGCAATTCTCCTGTCTCAGCCTCTTGAGTAGCTGGGACTACAGGTGCATGCCATGACTCCTGGCTATTTTTTTTTTTTCTTTTTCTTTGTATTTTTAGTAGAGACGGGGTTTCACCATATTGGTCAGGATTGTCTCAAACTCTTGACCCCAGGTGATCCGCCCACCACATCTTCTCAAAGTGCTGAAATTATAGGCGTGAACCACTGCACCTAGCTGTGACCTCCAATTTAAACTGGGTCCTCAGTGCTATTTACCACTTTTATGTTGCACCAGCTCTTTTTTGTGCTCTGCAGTATTCCGTTCAAATTGTCTTCTCTCAATTAAAATCTCTGAATCCACCATCTCTCAGACACTTCCAGCAGAAGTGGGACAACCTGTGTTTCACACACTGATGCTGGTGAACACATTCAGTGCTTACTATGCTCAGCACTGTTATGTGAATTTATATGTGTTAACTGATCAATTCTTTAGACCCCTCAAGGAGGGTAAGTGCATGATTATAATCACTGGGAAACAAGGCACTGGATGTTAAATTGCTTGCTCGAGGTTATGTTCCTAGCAAGAGGGGAAGCTGGAATTTAAATCCAGAGTCGGCCCTTAGACGACATGCTTCTAATTATGTGCTGTGCTACCAATTTGCTTTTGAAGCCCTCACTGGGGCTGTGTCAGTACCATCTAAAAGCCTGTAGCCTTATCAATATCCACATTATCTTTTTTCCTGTAACCCTGTTGAAGTGGAAAAAAAAATTGGCATCCCTTCTGTTGTCTCAAATAAATCCCTCCATTTGCATTTCCATACCATTTCCCTCCTAAGGGCCTCCTTAGATCTAGCTCTGTGAATTGTTCCTCTCCTTGTTAACTTCTCTATATTACCTCTTTTCTTTAAACATTTCACTACTATATGTTCAAATCTCCTCCTCTCCAAACTAATAAAGGAAACTCTTTAGATAACAACCAATTGTACCTATTGCCCATCCCCTCTATATAAAGTAAGTATTTATGAGAGTGATCTATACCTCTGCCTTTTCTTTGTGTTCAGCATAAGGCTTGGCTCACTGAAAACTCCTTCAACTCCCACTGTTCCACCGGTGTCTTGTCTCAAAATGGCAAATCAAATGATCTTTCTGCTGAATTCAACAGACACTTTCTATCATATGACTTTTGTATCACATTAGAAACACTGAAAAGTCTCTCCAACAAGTTAGGCTTAGAAAAAGTAAACAGTTTTGCCCAAGTGTAATGTTCAAAACCATTGACTGTGCTCTTCTTGAAACTCTCCCCTCTGGGAGCAATTAGTTTTAGAAAAATTATATAAATTTCCCCATTTTCACAAACCAGGAATTGACTTGCTATACCATAGAAAATGATTTGAATACTACTATTAGATATCTTGCCAGGTCCTGTGCATACAAAATTAATAAATTATTTCCCTCAAAGGCAGTTGCTGAGTCTGTCCCACAGACCCTGGCTGAGCAATGGATGAATAGAGTACACAGACACAGGCTTGCCTGTCAGCACGGCTAGGGGACCCCTGCTAGAGTCAGCAGCAGCCCCCAATAAGCTGGAGATGCTCACATTTATTTAGTACAGATTTAATTACAAATGCCTAGTGCAAACACCATTTGTGGGTAATTAATATCGTCGAACCCTCAAGTAGGGGGCAGTCCTGCATGCAGATGGTCAAAGGTTGGTTTCCGGGGAAATAGGTAAATAAACCTATCTAGATAAATTCCTTTGCACTCCCTTGTTATCTGCTCTTTGCTAGTAGCTCAAGGTAAGTGGATTACGCTGCCTTCAGCCATAATCCTTCCCCAAAGCTTCTGCAAAATCTTCCGGCCTTCCAGGAGGGTTTACATTTTTCTTATAATTTTTCCCACTACCCTGACTGATCTCATACATTTCCCCCTTTTCTGCTTTTTTGCATCAGGTTTTGTTGATTGAAGAGTACAGATGTGTGCAGTAACAGGTTTGCCAGGCACAACAGTTACAAATCATCTTCTGGCTTTGCATCCTAGAATTAGTAAATAACATAAGAAAAACATGATTATAATCAGTAACATTCTTGAGTGTTACTTGGCACCACGGTCCACTGTGTGCAACTAATGAGGGACTCCACTAGGGGTAAGTCAGTCCCTCCTTTACCAAGCAGTTACATTATTAGAGACTGGGAAGGGGGTGTCTGCCCAGGTAACAGGCTGGAAAAAAGGCAGATTTAGAAGATGAGCTCAATAGAGTGTAGCAGGTATAGGTGGCAGGCAAAGTGGGAGAATAAAAAGGAACAAATTATCTGGAGTGAATGGTATCTGCATCCAGAGCAGGATTTGCTCAGCCTTCTGAGTCGTCTTCAGCATTTCCCAGGAAATGTCCGGGGCTTGTGTCATCCAAGAAAGCTGCATCGTCTGGGGCTGCAGGTCCTACAGGGTCATTGCTTTCATTTCTGGTACCAGTTTGGGTCCTAGCCACACCATGGTATAGTTTGTGATGTGCTGGACTCCAAAGAGGACCTGAGGGGGTATGAACACAAGCATACCCTCTTTCCCATCTTAGCAAATTGTTTGGAACCACACCATACATTACTATTCAGTGATGTGATCACTGAATAGTAATGTATGGTGTGGTTCCAAACAATTTGCTATAGGAGTATGAGATAAGAACTGAAGTAGTTTGTCAGCAAGAAGGGCATGCTCTTGTGGCCTGCCTAATCAGAGAGTGCTATCTGAATATTTAGAGATAGGGGCAATACTGCTTCAAACTGCTTTTAACTCAAAGGAATTCTTACGACATCAGAGTCATAACCTAGCAACAGATTACATCATCTGCAGCACATGTAGATGACTTTACTAAGTAGATGACTTCCTATATCCTGGCTGGATATAGGAAGATAGTGTTTTAGTCCTGATATGTGAGCAAAAAACTCATTCTAGGAAGTTTAGCCCGGGAGCCATCTGTCCTAGTAATCCTGTTTGGGACTGAATATTTTGGGTCTATGTAATGTAGTTGCCTCTGAGAAATAGCTTGCTATTTCCTCAATTTCCTTTTTTTGCAGCAAGGGTAAAACACCTGGGAGAATCCAGGGCAGCATTGTCTTTTAAGATAGAAAATAGGTTTTGCAACATCACTAGTCATGGCCAAGATGGGGTGAAGCCAATTAATATCACCCAGTAATTTTCGATAATCATTTAAGGTATATAAGTTGCTAGTATTTAATTTAACCTTTTGAGGCCAATTTGTTATTATGCATGATCCTCAATTACTTTTCCTATATCTTTAAAATGAGAATGATAATATCCAACAATATAGGGTTGTTACAATCTTTATAAATAATGTAAATAAGGAATTGAATCCAGTACTTGTTAGGTAGTGGCTATTGATCATGGTAGTTATATTTTACTGTGGATTACATTGTAATATCCTTCAAATGAAAAGAACCTTAGATATCATTCAGCCGAATCTCCTACTTACTTGCCACTAAATGATGATATTGCCAAGGGGTTTGCCACTAACTGAAGATACTGCCTCCCCCTTGACAATATCTTCATTTAGTGGCAATTTGGCTTGTTTTGATTAAATCATTGATCGAAAATTCAATCCAACCCATTCAATGTTTTGACACCTCCAATTATTGAAACCTTCTTACCTACATTGATTTGAAATATGTTACTCTATTAGTCCTAGTGATCTTCTCAAAGTCCTAACTAAACAAACTCATTATTTTCTACATGATGAAGGGCTGGGGAAGAGGCTGGGATTGTCAGAATCTAGAAGTTCGGAAGAGCAGTTCCATAAGCTAGGAGTCATACCTCTGAGCAGAGGAACATTGCCAATCTGAGACAGAATCACAAGAAGTTGGACAGAGGGTAGTGGCAGAGTGGGGCAGGAATGGTCCTTCAGAGCTGGGGATTAGAGATGTCTTATAAGGGGGCAGTATCTGGCAGGTGTTGGTATGAATAGGGAAGAATGATAAAACCAGTTCTGGGAATGTAGAAAGATCTTGGAAACTGGAAACAACTGCTGCTAGAAACATTTGCTACTGCAAAGTCGATTGTCATTGCTAGGATGACACTGCGAGCAATAAATAACAAACAAACTAACAAGCAAGATCCTACCCCCTCCACCTGCCTTCCAGTCTCCTTCCAGTCCTCCATACTGGCTACACCTACAAGAACTCCAGCTGGATAAATTTGTAGCTCTTTATTTCTAAAAAGAAATAAAACATGAACAGTTCCAATCCTGCCTTCACAAAGTAGAATATGAAAGAGTGAACTTACATTTGAAGGACAACAGCCTAATAAGTGGCACCAACCATGTCATGCTAAACCACAAGCATTCCTTCAATGATACTTCTGTGGTATAGTTTGAATATTTGTCCTCTGCAGATCTGATGTTGAAATGTGATCCTCAGTGTTGGA